TTCTTCTAATTGGTGGGATCTTAACAAGAACTATCGTTACATCAGAGCAATAGATTCCGAAGATATTCAAGAGATGTTTATTTGGGATCCTAATGAGAGAGTCTTCAAGTCAAGAGTGCAAACTTTCAATAAAGGAAGGGTGTTCTATGAATTTACCAAGTTTGAATCCAGCAAGAATATTAAACTACTATTCATGTTCCTTAAGGTGCCAATTCATAAACAAGAATAACGTTTCACCAATTATGTGAGCTATGGATCTTAGAAGGTATATATAACAGGCTATAGTTTTCGAAAAATAATAATGTTATATGATTAAAACTTCTTCAGCAGTTTGATTATTTTTCTTTGCATTAATTAGAATCTATATTTCCCAAAACCTATATTGTTTTGTAGATTTCCTTTCAATAAGTTTACCAAATTTACAATATGTTTAGCTATGAAAGTATAAGCTTTTTTATATTTCACAACTATTATGACTAGAACATATGAGACTCCTCTGTCTAAATTGAAAAGTGGACTGCTTCTCAATCAGTCAGAATACTACAGTGAATGAACCACTCTTCATATCATTAAAGGATTCAAATGTTCAGTTTGTGGAATGTGTGGAATTACATTTAACACTTCACAATCCAAATCTTTGAAATTAGTAATTGTGCCTCAATCTACCATATTTCTTAGAGAATTTGTTAGTAATGCCCCCTTTGAGATGTCCATTTTTAAAAATACCCTTCTTTTTAACAATTTTTAATTGTACCCTTCTTTAATTTTTAAAGACAAATTTGCCCTCATTTATATTACTTATCTTTTCTTCATACCCTAAAACAACGCAGACATCTTCTTCTCTCCTTGTCATTGAGCTTCACCGGTGTCGTCATCATCGAGCTTTGCCGTCGTCGTCATCATCGAGCTTCGCCATCACCGTCATCGTTGACCTTCTCTTCAGGTTTGTCGTCATCATCGATCTCCGTTGTTGCCGTCATCGTTGAGCTTCTCTTCAGATCTCATACACTGTCTACAACCATCGTGATTCTTAAGGATGGTAAAAGAAGCTCTCTCTATCTCTATCTCTCTCTCTCCCCCCCCCCCTTCTAGAATATGGTTTTTCAGATTTGAAGAGACAAAATCAGGATTTGAAATTAGTATTGATTTTCAAAATGGAGATGACTTTACAACTCTTTGTTCTCTTTCCTGGTATTAGGGTTTTTGAATTTGGCAAAATTTAGTTTTTGATGAATTGGTTGCTAATTATGTATTGATGTCTGCAATTTTTGTATTTAGATGATTAGATTATGCTATTGTAATGGGAATTGTTGCATATGAATATGAAATAGATGGTGAAGATGTTTGTTTTTTATGTGTGTAGGAAGTGTGAATTTGATATGAGAGCCACTTGACAACAAAAGATATTTAGAGTTGTAGAGAAAATTAATATCTATAAGTTTGGTGTACTTAGGTTGGTTCCGTTGTCTAGAAGAGTTGCTGTGTTTAATGGACTAAATGAGAGTCATATATCATGTATATCGGTAATGGAAAAAGAAGGACTGGAGTTCATGATTATAATACTTAATAAATTCTCAGATTTTCAGTGGTGGTCTCTCTGTCCTACCTTTTGTTAATTTGTTCTTTAAATTGCAGGTATTGCTACATACTACAGGTTTTTTGGATGGCTAAGGGATGAGTGAAGCCAGACTTGCTACTGAGATGACACATGGAGGAGAAGAAACAGAGCTAAGAAATGGAGTAATTGAGGACAAGGGAAAGATCAAGCTGAAGTGCTCAGAAAGAGAGCAAAGTTCTTTGGTGTCGAAAGCTCCTCTTTTCTGTCACATTTTGGGTCAGTTTGAATAATTAGGTTAACTGGTCTAGTTGTTGTTTTGTATTGTCGATTTTGTTTGGCCGTGATATTATTGATAGTAACAGGTAAGAGCTATAGCCTGCAGTCACAGTCACGAGTGATGAAAAATGTAGCAATCTCTCATTTCATCTACTTCTCATTATCCTCATCAAAGAGAGTGGTTCCCTGATTTCTTCTAGTCTCTGCAGTCTTTGTATAATTCTAAAAGTACTGAAACAAGCAAGAAGTATGAAGGACAAGTTTGAGAAGTACTAGGATGTATTGATCAATATAAATCCACTTGATAGAAACAGTTGAGCGACAGAGTTTAGGATCAGATTATGATGTTTTGTCATGGTAGAAGCATAATAGTCTGAACTATGTTTAGGAACCTTATAAAATATGTTTTTTAGACATACCATTTATGCAAATTGTTGTTTGTTAGCGAGAAGCATATATTCATCTAAAGTTTTATAAATGCTTTTAAAAGCTATATGTAAAACCTTTTAAAAACTTTTAAAAACCTAATAAAAGCCTTATAAAATTTTTTAAATAATTTTTACAAGTTTAATATACATTTAAATTTTAAACACCTTATAAAACATTTTAAATATTTTAAAAACTTTTTAAAACCTTTATAAAAGTCTTATAAACTCTTTATAAAGGCCTTATAAAATCTTATAAACTCTTTATAAAGGCCTTATAAAATCTTTATAAAGCCTTGTAAACCCGTATAAAAGCCTTGTAAAACTGTTTAAATAGTTTTAAAACCTCAATATCCATTTAAACACCTTTTAAATACGTTTTAAAACCTTTTAAATACTTTTCAAAACTTTTTTAAAACCTTATAAAAGCCTTATAAAATATTTATAAAAGCCTTGTAAAATCTTAGTAAACCTTTTTTAATAGTTTTTAAAACCTTAATGCATTTAAACACCTTATAAAACCTCGTAAAAACCTTTTAAACATGCTGTAAAACCTTTTAAATACGTTGTAAAACCTTTTCAAAACCTTTTAAATAAGTTTCAAAACCTTTTAAAACCCCTTATAAAAGCCTTATAAAATATTTATAAAAGCCTTGTAAAACCTTATAAAATTCTTGTAAAACTTTTTACATAGTTTTAATTTAAAACCTTAATATCCATTTAAACACCTTATAAAATTTTGTAAAACCATTTAAATACTTTACAAAACTTTTTTAAAACCTTATAAAAGCCTTATAAAATATTTATAAAAGTCTTGTAAAATCTTACAAAAGCTTTGTACAAGTTTTAAAGAACCTTAATACATTTAAACACCTTATAAAACCTTGTAAAAAACCTTTTAAATACGTTGTAAAACCTTTTAAACACTTTTTAAAACCTTTTAAAAACCTTAAAAAAAATTTATAAAAGCCTTGTAAAATCTTATAAAAGCTTTGTAAAAGTTTTAAAGAACCTTAATACATTTAAACACCTTATAAAACCTTGTAAAAAACCTTTTAATTTCATTGTAAAACCTTTTAAACACTTTTTAAAACCTTTTAAACACTTTTTAAAACCTTTTAAAAACCTTATAAAAACCTTATAAAATATTTAAAACGTTGTACAAGGATTTTAAAAGGTTTTACAATTTTTTAAAAAGTTGTATAAAAATTTTAAGGGATTTATAAGAAATTTATACGGTTTTCAAATAGGTTTTCAAGGGTGTGTGTGCCTTTGTGCCTATAACAAATATTCAGAGATTTTCCTTGACGAATCCTCCACGACATCTTTTGTTTAAAGGAATCCTTCTCCTCTATCTCTTTCTCCTTTATCTCTCGTTTGCACAACACAGAGGCTGATACTCTTGCTAATTTGCTCTCTGTTTGTTTTCTGTTGTAAACTCTTCCTCCATTGCTGGACGCTAACTCTTTCTTCCTTCTCGGTTTAGTATATTTATGTTTGATCAAAAAAAAAGATTTTCCTTGACAAAACAATGCAACTTTTTAAGATATATTATGAATCCTTAATATTCTATATCTGATGTACTACTTACATAATCAAAAATATAAATAAGAATTGCAGGAAAGTTAAACAAAGTAACATGTCATATACAATCTAAGCTCTCCTGCAATATAAAACCAGCCACGATTCTTGCCAATTCTGAAACGTTCGAGCGGTGTTTCACATTGTTTGATCCTTTCACACTAAATCCACATAAGCATGAGGTCCTAACTGTGTTGCACGTTGTATGTCCCACCTTCAACAAGAGCAACTTGAGCCAAATCATTAAACAACATTCCAGACTTGGATCCAACATTATTCAAAAAGTGATGGATTTGTGTTCTCTGCAACATTCATAATTTTAAAAGATAACGTATTACCTCAATGCAAGTGAAGATCTCTTGGGGGTGAAAGAGATTGTGAATATTGGGCATCGCTCCTCTATTGTCTATAGTCTCAGGTGCTCCAACAAAGACACACCAATCACTATACATTTACATCTTCTCTTCTTCTGTGTACAAAGACAATCCAAACAGAGACAACACACACAAAAAAAAATGTCACTCTTTACGAGCTATAAACATTACAACTAATCAAATCATGAGACCAAACCTTAAGTATCAATCTCTAACCGTGGTTATCATCATCAAAACAATCCCCGTTGTTGAATTAGCCAAATATCCTACAATTTTCTCTTGAGCTACAAACGTACACCTTTGTAAAACTAATTAATAAGAACGATTGTGTTTTCCAATATGATATTCTAGTTTGGTTTCTACGGATGAAGCATCGAAAGCCAAAGAAATATTAGTCCTATCTTGGTAAATTTCAAAGTACATACGAGTTCAACCTAAAAATCCAGCATAAACCATAAGTACAACAAACAACACGAAGGAAGGAAAAACTGATATGAAGCTGTAGAGATTAAAAAGGGATATAAGAAGAAGCATTAATCGACGAAGTCGGGGCAACAATCAGAGAAATCCTCACGAGCAAAGCAACAAGAATCGATTGTATATTGAAATCGAGATCCGAAACAGATCTACCCAGCAAACAGAACACGGCCAAGAGAGACGAAAACACGGCGAAGAGACACGAGAACACGACGAAAGAAACGAGAACACGGCAATGAGAGACAAGAACACGACGTAGAAGACGAAATCATCGTGAGAGATCGTCGGCGATGAAAGACGAGATCGTCGCTCATTGTCGACAGAGAGATTGTAGAAGAGAATCAATTTCTTTAGGTTAAATGATTTAAGGGCACTATTGTCTTTTTACACTAAATTAAGGGTATTTTTAAAAATGTTCTTTCTACTGGGGCATTTTTAAAAAGCTAATCCTCAAAAGGGGTATTTTTAAAATTATCCCTATTTCTTAAGACCAAACTAATTTATACCGATTAAATAATATAATAACATGATAACTAGGACTGAAAATTAAGTTCCAGGTAGAGGAATTAACTAACCTTGAATCAAATATAATCATTGAATAATAACCCGCTCGCAACAAACATCAATTAGTGTCGTACAACAACAACATCCATCTGTTGTCGATGAACAAT